CCGTCCAGATGGACGGTTCAGCCTCAATCGGCGGGCGGCAGCTTCAAGAGCGCCGCCAGGCCCAAATGAAGTGTCGTTTGGGCCTACCCGATGGGCTTAGTCCTTAGGGCCTGTAACCCCAAAGGTCGGGCCTTTAGGCCCTGGTGTGTCCCTCCGGCCCTAAGTCGGGTCCGGTAGGACCCGTGTGAATCGAAGATGTAACAGGTATGCGAAGTGTGACACACACACAATAGGTGAGTTCAAATCCGAACAACCACCAACCCAGCAAACCACTACTGAAAGGATTGCAAACTGTGATCAGGTGTTTGACAGGACAAAAAAGCAAAAAAAAACGAAAAATAAAATAAATCCAAGGCTTACAAAGCAGCATCAGCATTCCATCGACAGTGTCAACAACAATGCACAGGTGAGCCTAAAAACCATCCCGACCCCACCCAAACCCACACCCGACCAAGAAACCCCTACCCACCCTCATTTGCACCCTTTTCCCTTCATTTTCTTGTGGGCGAAGCTGCAACAGGTACCCTTGTACAAAATGAACACAATAGGGGCTACCTCCCCTGTAGAAAAGATAAAGAAATGCAACAATTTCAAGTTCAACTGTGTTACTCGTGTAATTGAGGTGTTTTTTCTTTTGCATTATAAACTAATGTAAAGTTGATTACGATGCTCCTAACTAATGATGATGATGATAGCAATCATAAAACATATGCAAACATTTGGCTGTGTGACACACATGTTAGCAGTCAAGTAAGGCTTGGCCCTCTGGGCCTTTTCCATTCTGTAGCAGATCATTCACTGATCTGGAATACTATTCAATGTGCTTTACAGGTGCAGGAAAGTTATTGGGGCGTCTGACGTCAGAAAGTCTGGGCTTTGCAATGGCGCCTGCTCGTGTAAGTGGATAATATGTCCTGTTCTTTGGGAAATTTAGTGTCTGCCATTGGGGCAGTTGAAGCCACAGAGGGTATGAACGCTGTGGTTTTCCCCTTGCGACCTTGACGACCCTGGCAGGATGGAGTTGGCTGTGTATTGACTCGACAGTCGACTTGTATAATATCGACGACGAGACCCCACGGGGCATTCTAGTTTTGGACAAGGAAGTTGTGAGAGGTGGAAACTTAACCTGAGTCTAGTTTTGGTTCAAACCGCTGTACTAGGCTTTTTACCATCCCAAGTCCTCCCAATTTTCATTCTCTCCATCCTGTTGCGGTCGGTTTCGCTAACTTTCTCAACAGAATGGCTAAGTTTATCCCTGTGGCAGCAAGGGGCTCAGCTCCTGCTGCTTTTGCTTTTGCTAATCGTGCAAATTGGCGTTTTGCAACCGCGTTGCAGTCAGATATGTCCTTCAGGTCTTTGTATGCTAGGGCGGACCAGCAGCAGGGTGCAGGGACGGTTTGTGGCGTCTGTCGCAGTAGGAAGAGAAACTCCCCAAGGCTCTTGAAGCCCTGGACTCCTCGCAAAACCACCGCATCTTTGTCATGTGGCGGCCTTGATAGGTCCTCCTCTCCCCATCTGTCCCCAGCCTCGTCGAAACCTTTGCTGTGCCATAGGTTTAGCAGTCTTTACCCGCCGACGGAGAGATTATCAAGGGTCGCTGTGAAGCACAGGGTGTGGCCTAGGCCTGTGAGGGTAGCATGCACGTTGACCGCACCAGTAAAGGTCAACGACGAGTCTCAGGAGCATGATGAGGAGGATAGGCCAAGAGAGATTTTCTTGAAGGATTACAAGCCCCCCCCTTACAGTTTTGACAAAGTTCACCTTAGTTTTGAGCTAGGAGAGGAATTCACAACGGTGCGATCACAGATCCGAGTCGTACCACAATATGCAGCCTCCAATGCAGTCCATGCTGCTGGGGAAGAGGATGGGGCCTCCCCACCGCCGCTTGTCTTGGATGGACGTGACCTGAAGTTACTGCAAGTTGTGGTTGATGGAACGAAGTTGAACAGCGATGAGTACCGAGTGACAAAGAAAAAGCTTATTCTCAGTTCTGTGCCGTCTGCTCCTTTTGATATGGAGATTGTCACGCAGATTGAACCTCAGAACAATGCGTCGTTAGAGGGATTGTACAAGTCCAGCGGTAACTTCTGCACGCAATGTGAAGCCGAGGGGTTCCGGAAAATCACGTATTACCTCGATCGGCCCGATGTCATGGCAGTTTTCACGACACGCATTGTGGCGGATAAGCGGGAATTCCCCGTTCTTCTGTCAAATGGGAACCTGGTGGCCAAGGGAGATCTTGATGGGGGGAGGCACTTTTGTGTGTGGGAGGATCCTTTCAAGAAGCCATGCTACCTCTTTGCCCTTGTGGCTGGAAAGTTAGCATACACGGAGGACACGTTCGTGACACACTCTGGACGGACTGTTACCCTTCGAATATATGTGCAAGAGCACAACAAGTCCATGACAGGGCACGCAATGGAGTCTCTGAAAGCGGCAATGAAATGGGATGAGGATGTTTATGGTCTGGAGTATGATCTGGACTTGTTCAACATTGTCGCGGTTGATGACTTCAACATGGGAGCTATGGAGAACAAAAGTCTGAATATCTTCAATTCGCGCTTGATTCTTGCAACACCGGAAACAGCGACAGATGCCGATTACACGGCTATTGAAGGAGTTGTGGCCCACGAATACTTCCACAACTGGACCGGCAACCGCATTACGTGCCGCGACTGGTTCCAACTTAGCTTAAAGGAGGGTTTGACAGTTTACCGAGACCAGGAGTTCTCGTCCGATATGAATTGTCGAGCAGTGGCGAGGATCGGCGATGTTGCGTTGCTGCGGATGGCCCAGTTCCCCGAGGATGCTTCACCTATGGCTCACCCTGTTCGACCATCCAGCTACATCAAGATGGACAACTTCTACACGGTCACTGTTTATGAGAAGGGTGCGGAAGTTGTGCGAATGTATGATACACTGTTTGGGAAAGAGGGCTTTCGAAAAGGAATGGATTTGTATTTCAAAAGGCATGATGGGCAGGCTGTGACCTGTCTCTTATACACATCTAGATGTGTATAAGAGACAGGGCTCACCCTGTTCGACCATCCAGCTACATCAAGATGGACAACTTCTACACGGTCACTGTTTATGAGAAGGGTGCGGAAGTTGTGCGAATGTATGATACACTGTTTGGGAAAGAGGGCTTTCGAAAAGGAATGGATTTGTATTTCAAAAGGCATGATGGGCAGGCTGTGACATGCGACGACTTCCTTGCAGCCATGAGGGATGCAAATGGAGCCAACATGGGGAATTTTTCGCACTGGTATTCCCAGGCAGGAACTCCGGAGCTGATGGTGACCTCTATCTACGACGAGCGCGCGAAGACCGTGACCCTCAAGTGCAAGCAGCATATTCCTCCCACACCCGGTCAGCCAATGAAGGAACCAATGATGATCCCTCTTGCTGTGGGGCTTGTAGGGAAAGATGGGAAAGACATTCCCCTGCGGTCACTCTATGACGGCTCAGCGTTGATCGACCTTGCCGGTGATGACAGCAACGGTGTTGCTACGACTGTGCTGAGACTCGAGAAGGCCGAGCAGGATTTTACTTTCTTGGATATTCTGGAGAGACCTGTGCCATCACTTCTGCGGAACTTCAGTGCTCCGGTGCGTCTGTCTCATGACCTTACTGATGACGATCTTGTGTTCCTGCTCGCACATGACTCCAACGAGTTTAACCGGTGGGAGGCAGCTCAAACGCTTGCGAAGAAGATGATGCTTGGACTTGTGGAGAGGCAACAGAAGGGTGAGACACTCTCTGTGAATGATGGGTTTGTGAATGCCATCGGCAGCGTCTTGTCCAATGGTTCGCTTGATAAGGCACTAGTAGCCCGAACGATCTCCATGCCCACCCAGGCTGAGCTGGGGGAAATGATGGATGTGACAGACCCTGATGCGATTCACGCTGTGCATACGTTTGTGGTGCGGGAGCTCGCCGCACGGCTGAAGGATCGTTTCCTGGAGGTATTTAGGAGCAATCACAGTGATGGCCCATATACACCTGATCATCCAAATAAAGCAAGGCGGAGCTTAAAGAACACCGCGCTGGGTTACCTGGCGGCACTTAACGAATCAGACACAGTGGCTTTGGCAGTTGAGGCGTTTGGTTCTGCCAAGAACATGACGGACCAGTTTGCTGCGATGGCTGCTGTGGCAAAAAATCCAGGTGCAGAACGGGAATCAGTTCTTGCGCAGTTTTATGAGCAGTGGGAGAAAGATCCTCTGGTGATTAACAAATGGCTGTCTTTGCAGGCCAGCTCTGACATCCCTGGTAATGTCGGGAAGGTGAGAGAGTTGTTGGACCACCCGTCGTTCGACATCAAGAACCCGAACAAGGTGCGTGCACTGGTGGGAGCATTCTGTTCATGCCCTGTGAACTTCCACGCTGCAGATGGGAGTGGGTACGAATTCCTGGCAGACATGGTGATCAGGCTGGATGAGTTCAACCCACAGGTGGCAGCAAGGATGGCTGGGTTGTTCGCTCGTTACAGGAAGTTTGACGAATCCCGCCAAGCAATGGCCAGGGCGCAACTTGAACGGATAGCGAATCGCGAAGGGCTGTCCGAAAACGTGTTTGAGATAGCATCTAAATGCCTGGCTGTTTGACACCCAGCTTACGCCCTGCTTATGCTGGCCTTTCAGAAGATCAAAATAGATAGTCTGGTAGACAGGAGCCTAGCAGCTAGCTGAGGTTGTTCCTTCTGTGGACTTCCTATGGAGGGAATCTTGTTGTTGTCTACCCGTTGAGCAGCTTTCTTGGGTTTCTGTGTGTGTCGAGGAGCGGCGTGTGATTTGTTCCCTGTCATTTTTTTTCCTTTTTTTCTTCTATACTGTATAATAACGGAATACCGTGTCTTGCATGACTGCGCTGTGAACCTGGGGGCCCTGTGTTGGGAAATTGGCGGCGGACAAGGTGCTGGCCCACGGGGAACTTGGATGGAATGCAGTTTTTTTCCGTTCACACGAGTTCAAACGGTGGTGTGTGCGGGCCCAAGTGGAACTTGTACAGAATGTAGTTTTTGTTTTTCCCATGCGCATGAGTTCGAGCAGCGGTGCGGCCCGGTGGAAGAGTATGGACGTGGGGGGAAGTACGACGTGCGCCTTGCTTTCGTTCCAGAAACTTCGTGTGCGCAGGGGAAATCGAAAACAGATG